GGCAGGTGGGGGCCCAAAATACTAATAAAGGGGGGACCTAATGTCCTCCCCCTGGCCCCCACCCATGAGCAGCGGGTGGGGGCCCTAAATACTAATAAGGGGGGGCCTAATGTCCTCCTCCTGGCCCCCACCCCTGAGCAGTGGGTGGGGACCCTAAATACTAATAAGGGGGGGACCTAATGTCCTCCCCCTGATCCCCACCCCTGAGCAGTAGGTGGGGGCCCTAAATACTAATAAGGGGGGCACCTAATGTCCTCCCTCGGGCCCCCACCCCTGTGCGGTGGGTGGGGGCCCTAATTGTTACTTAATCCACCAATCAGAGAGTTATGAGTCAAATTACACAGCGTGGGAAAATTCCAAAGAACTTTCCCATGCTGTGTAAAATGACACAGAGCACTCTAATTGGTGTATTTCAAACCAACCAATCAGAGTACTGTGACAGGTAAATGTAGAGACTTATCTGTCAGTCTCTTCATTTACCTGTCAGAGCACTCTGATTGGATGGCTTAAACCCACCAATCAGAGTGCTCTGAGCCTAATTGCAGGGCGGGGCAAGGCTTTATAAGCCTTCCCCCGCCATGCAGAGCTCAGTCTGCACGGAGCCCTCCCTGGGTGAAGATTAATTATTTTTTTTTTGCTTCGGTTATTATGGATTTTTATTTGGCCTTTTTTAGGGCTGAAAAAAGAAGATTAGAAGAAAGAAAACATCGAATGGTAAGTTTTATTTTATTTACATGTACTTAGTTAAAGGTCCCCCCTTCATTATTTTTAGGGTGAGGGGGGTAGGTAGGGGGTTAATTTTTTTGGGGGGAGGGGGTGACTAGGGTTTTGGGGAACCCTAGTCACCTGGGGGGGTAACACTTTTTTAGGGCCCCCACCCACCGCTCAGGGGTGGGGGCCGGGTGGAGGACAATAGGTCTCCCCCTATTGATATTTAGGTATTTAGGACCCCCACCCACCACTAATGGAGGGGCCAGGGGGGAGGACCTTAGTTCCCCCCCTTATTAGTATTTAGGGCCCCACCCACTGCTCAGGGGTGGGGGCCAGGGGGGAGGACATTAGGTCCCCCCCTTATTTTACTGTAGGGCCCCCACCCACTGCTCAGGGGTGGGGGCATAGGGGGAGGACATTAGGTCCCCCCCTAATTAGTATTTAGGGCCCCCACTCACCGCTCAGGGGTGGGGGCCAGGGGGGGCAATAGTTCATTGCGGGTGGGGGCTCGGGAGGGGGGAACCTATTTTTTTTAGCCACAGGCTGCTCACTGTTTACTAGACATGCCCCTCCTCGCGGTATAGCGAGTAGGGGGCAAAATTTACTAATACAAAGTCATTTTTACTTAGTATTAGTAAATTTGTCTGAAAGACCAATTTAGGTATTTCAGCCTTTTGGTAGATAACTCCCTAATACCGTTGGAATTAGGGAGTTATCTACTAAGCGGTCCCGAAGTGCCGAATTCCCGAAATTCCGAAGTTCCAAATTGCGAAGTTCCCAAGTGTCAAAGTGCCGAAGTTGCCAAATTTCCGAAGTGTCGAAGTTCCAAAGTGCTGAAGTGCTGACGTTCCGAAGTTGCCGAAGTTCCGAATTGCCGAAGTTCCGAATTGCTGAAGTCCCGAATTGCGGAATGCCGAACCAAAGTGAAAATTTTCCCTAATGCACATGCCTAGTTACAACTACATGTCTGTTCGTCCACCCACTGTAAAGCACTGCGGAATTTGTTGGCGTTATATAAATAATAACATAATAATATATGCCTAGCTAATGATTGATAAAAAAATAAGTGCCTTCACCATAAATAGAGAATACTCCATGTCATGTTTTTATATTGATTTTCTGTGTTTACAGTTTATAATCTATGTGAGTAATCCATGCCAGGATTTAAGGAATTTATTGTTAATTGGATTGACCATGTGATCTACTAATTAACTAATTAAAAGGGTATGTATACCTAATGAATGTTTGTACTAGTTATGCATGATTAAGGCTGCATAGAGCCAAAATGTTGCACTTAATTTTGAGGAGCCTTACCCTATAATAAACAGAACCATCTTAGACCTTTGGAGTGTAGCCTGTGTTCCTTGTTACTTCACTAGAAATAAGCTAGAAATAAGTCATTACTATATATCAACCACTAGATGGCGATATTATGCCAGTATGCAGAGTGATAAGGTGAAACCATTAGAGAATATGTTTCAATGTATACGCTTACTCAATACAATTAGGTTTGATAAATAGATATAATGCAGCTTGTTGATAGCATGTTATTAATATCAGACAGAGCAAAGCGAGACAGATAGAACAGCGCGAACACCTCGGTTTACTCTGAGCCTACTCCAAATATAAGTGGCTGGATGGAGAATTGGTCAAAGGAAATGCAGAAACTAGACTTCATAGAGTCTTCATATACTCATGGACCTTGACATAGGTATAGAGTCAACTAATCACATATGTTCCAAGAGAAGCCTGCTGTCAATTTCTAGCTACAGACAGTGGTAGCTAACATATGATTCAGCAGTACAGGTGAGATCACTCACATCCATGATAAGAACAAACAGACGCAAAGAGGACCCAAGGTAAACATCCAGCGATCTAGTAAAAGGTCCCTGATAAAGGTACAGTGTATGCATTAAAATGCAAAAGTGCCAACTTTTTCAACAGATTCTCAGATCCATCTTTGGTCAGCCTTCTGAATAAAGTTTCCACGGAGGAATGTTTAAACTCAACTCAAAATTTGATGGCCGCACAGTACACATGCTCACTCACCCACGCCTAATGTCCCTACTGACTACTACAGTGAATTTGTCATTGTTCACGCATGTGCACTCCGGTCCACTCTACTTGGCTGCCAGCTTACATTAATGTCGCACAAACCATTCCTGTTATAGTAACAAGGGATGGACTTTTTCTGGACACATAAAAATGTCATGTCATGTTTTGTGTGTAGTTCTTTAATTTTTAGTAATTATTTGGTTTTATTAATTCTATGTTCAGAAAGCTGGCTGAGAACCCAGGCAGTCCCCCTGCAGACAATCTGTCAATCACCCCGATTTGATTCATCTAATCATGTTGTCTTGGTTATCAGACAGCCTCCCCGGCACACCTGATTGTGATCGCCGTGGTGGGTAATTATACAGGTAGGGGGAAGGCACGATCTTTAGTCCATGCTGTGCCACCCTATGGCATTAAAGCCCTCCTATAGAATACCATTTGTTGGGAGAATGTTAAAGATGTGCATGTGGTCATATACTTTTGGGGAGATCGCTAATTATTATTATTATTATTATTATTATTATTATTATGTTATTTATATAGCGCCATCAAATTCCGCAGCGCTTTACAATGGGTGGACGAACAGACATGTAGTTGTAACCAGACAAATTGGACACACGGGAACAGAGGGGTTGAGGGCCCTGCTCAATGAGCTTACATGCTAGAGGGAGTGGGGTAAAATGACACAAAAAAAGAAAGGATAGTATTAGACTAGTGACCGTTGCAGAAGAGGAATCAGTCAGGAGCTATTAACAGTTTAATTGATCCGCTTTTATGAAGAAGTGGGTTTTTAACGTTTTTTTGAAGGAGTGGAGACTGGGTGAGCATCTAACGGAGGAGGGAAGCGAATTCCACAGGAACGATGCAGCCCTCGAGAAATCTTGAAGGCGAGCATCAGAGGTGGGAGTATGGACAGAAGATAGAAGTAAGTCTTCAGCAGATCGCAAGGGCCTAGACGGGACATACTTGGTATAAGGGAGGATAGATAGGTGGGAGCAGCATTATGTAGCGATTTGAAAGCAAGAACCAGAATTTTAAATTGAGCTCTATATTTTATAGGAAGCTAATGTAGGGACTGACAGAAGGGTGAGGCATGGGAGGTGCGGGTGGACAGGAAGATGAGCCTCGCTGCAGCATTCATTATGGACTGTAACGGCGCAAGTTGGGAGCACATAAGACCACTGAGAAGCATGCAATGTTTTTGAGATGGAAATGACAGGATTTGGCGATGGATTGAACATGAGGCTTGAAAGAGAGGTCGGAGACAAAGAGAACACCTAGGCAGTAAGCCTGTGTGGTGGAGCTGATGGTAGCACCGTTGACTTGGAGGGTGTCAGGATTACTGTTTGATCCAGCACGTAGAACTGTACAGCACGGATGACAAATAAGTAACGTATTACCGGTCCTTAGAATGGCCGGATTTAATGTACAAAGAATAGTCAAAAATGCTAGCCGAGGTCAGGGAACACAGAAAGGGACACAGCGATGAGGAAAGCCAGGAGTCAGGATACCAGAATATAGAGAAGTCAATAAACAAAGCCAAAAGTCAAAAACCAGGTAGAAAACTATAAACAGGAACACGCTCTCGGACAACCACAAGGGAAACCACGACAGAGCACTGAGCAGGCTGAGAACTGGGCCTAAATACCCCTCCTTTAGTTCTGATAGGCTGTAACCGACCCCAAAGTCAGTTACCAGGTTTCATTTGCATAATTGCTGCTCAGCATTAGCCCTTCTGTGGATTAGGTTGCTGCTCGGCACAACTTTTCCTGTGTGGACAGTAAATGTCATTAACCACTTTTCTATAAGCGGATGAATACATGACACCAGATTTCATTTACACAATTACTGCTCAGCATTAGCCCTTCTGTGGATTAGGTTGCTGCTCGGCACAACTTTTCCTGTGTGGACATTAAATGTCATTAACCACATTTCTATAAGCGGATGAATACGTGACAGAGGGAGACAGACACAGGAGTAACAACACTTGAGGGAGGAAAGACCAGAATTTCAGTTTTGGTCAAGTTTAGTTTAAAGTTTCTGCTCTGTGGATATTCATTTTAACATTGTGCAAAGTCATATGTCTGGTAGGCAATAATTTGCATAAATAACTTAGACCACACAATAAACACAGACATCATTCATTTTATTTCAATGGGCTTGGCCGTAGTGTTTATTAAAGCTTGAAAATGGGGCATATCAACAGTAACTTGATAACGATAACATATTCAGGTAAACTTTTCACTTAACTTTAAAACTTTTCACTTAACTTCAACTTTTACTTTCACCATCACTTAGTGCCAGTAGGTCATAGCTAACCTGACCGCCTTATAAATACAACCATTTATCACCACTTAGTGCCAGTCAGTCATAACTAACCTGACCGCCTTATAAATACAACCATTTAACACATATCCTTCCTCAGAACTTGAACCTGAGGATGACTTTTGCCCCAAGCTTCCAACACGACGATATTACATATAAACACATTAAACAATTAGTGGGAGGGAGGGTGGGTGTTCGTCGGTGCTTCTCCCATCCTGTAGAAAAACCAGCTGACAGGGATTGCCTTGCACTGTCACCTTTTATACTTACCTGGTTTCCCACTCTTTTTCTGGCTCACTGACAGCAACCAATCATCAGCCAGTTCTTGTCCCCAGCAACAGTTGTCACCTAATCTGCCCAGCTACTTGTCCCACTCTGCCCAACAAGATGATCGTGGTCATGAACTTACACTGACCTATTAACCCTCTATTTCCACCATACATATATGCCACAGTGCTTAGTGCCTGTGGCCTCTTTTTCTTTGGCTTACTCATCATTGTGGTTCAACTTTTGTCTATGCAAGGCATGGCTTACAGAAGTATGGATCTCATTTTTTAGGAAATCTCAGTCAACTAACATTATAGTTTTTATTGTTATTTATAATGTAAATACAGCAAAGATATCACTTAAAAAAATATCGTCTTATGTCCTTGTGTTTATTTTGTGGATTACCTCTAATGAGCACCTCTCACAAATAAGTCACCTGGTGCTTTTTTATTGACAATAACATCCTATAGCTAAACAAACAATAAAATGCGAGAATGTCTAGCCCTGATGCTCAGACGGGCTCGGTGAGTAATTAGGGCATAACCCAAACATTACATAAAACCGAAAAACTAGGTTCTGGTCAGGGGCGTACCTAGAGCATTTGGCACCCGGGGCGGATCCTGTGCTTGGAACCCCCCACCCCAAAAAAAAAAAAACCTGTAAAAATTGTTAAAGGTTTTCTTTAATTAATCCACACTCCTAAACCATACTTAATTAATCCATACTTTTACTAATCCATACTAATCATCCACACACCCTTAATAATCCACTTAATTGATACACATACACCCTTACTAATCCACACTAATAATCCACCCTTACTTAATCCACTCCCATAATTAATCCACACTAATAATCCACTTCTAATTAATCCACTCCATACTAATACACCCCCATAATTAATACACTCCCTATTAATCCACTACCCATAATAATTCAACTCCTACTTAATAATCCACTCCCTACTTTTATTAATACACCCCTATAATAATTCACCTCCATAATTAATTCACCTGTACTAATTCACTCTATAATTAATTCACCTCTATACTAATTCACCTATACTAATTACCCCTATAATAATTACTCCTATACTAATATACACCACTCTATATAATTAATACTAATATACACCTCTATACTATTACCCCACAATACTCTATACTAATATACACACCCCCATAATAATACACACCTCCTTTCTACCTCATTTCTCTCACTCCTTTCTACCTCTTTTCTTTTTCTCTCCCTCTTTTTCTCTCTCTTTTCTCCTCCTCTCTTTCTCTTTCTCTCTTCTCTCTCTCTCTTTTCTTTCATCTCTCTTCTGTATTTAGCAAGTGTGGTTAGAGTTGCGGTGGCTTTAGCCGCTGGACTGACAGGAAGTGCGGCTACTGTGTATCTTCAGCAGTTCGCTGGGTAGAGACAGCGTTTCCTGTACTACTATACCAGTTTGCTACGCTGGGCCAGAGGGAGTGACAGGGAGGGAGCGCTGAGGCTGAGCGCCTTGCCGCTCTTCAGGGTGCGCCGTGGTGCGGTCCGCCATGGACATACTACTTGGTAAAGCGTGCTTCGAGGCTTCATAGAGCGCTGGGCGGCTGCAGTATGGGGGCGGCGACTGGTCATGGCACCCCCCCCCCTGCCCCCACCTTAGTACGCCACTGGTTCTGGTACAAGAAAATTGCAGTCTATTTAATGAAGTGCTGTAAAAAAGCAGCCTTCATTAAATATTAAAACTTTTGCCCGATATTTTATTTACCCAGTCCCCAAATCCTCCCTCTTTGGAATCAAAGGATATCCAGAGACTTTGTGATAAGCACTTTTGTTCCCTAATCCCTCGCACATGTAAATTAATCACCCCAGGGAAAGTGTCATGTTTGCCATAAGAAAGGAGTTTGAAAGGATTCCATTTAATACTGTCCTATCTGCCCATCTCCATCTGTCCTCTGCATAACATACTGTTTCAGAGTCTATACAGAGCACAACTATTAAATCAGTCTTACGTGACTTTCTCAGTTTGTTTATTCTGGATTCCTGACCATGCCTTGTCCGGATTACTCTCTCTGAGCTACCTGTACCAACGTATTGGCTAGTTATACTAGTTATACCAGCATTACATTGTGAATAGGACTTAATTGACTTTTATTTATATTTTTCTTTCATCATTATCTATATTTGGACTTGGACTGATATTCTATATTAACTGAACCATATTGTACTTTTTTGACAAAACCCACTGTTTAGTGGACTAATCCCCTCTTTACTCCTTTTTGTATTTTTATGCTCATTCACATATATCTTTTTTATATATATACCCACCCCTGTTTGTTACAAGATGTATTCACTCTTCTCTTTTTACTTGGCTAGTTATGCTGACTACTCTGACTTCTGAATTCCCCTGACCTTGGTTTGTTCCTGTTTACATTAAGCCCAGATTTTATAAAGTGTCTACGCCAAACAACTCAAACTACTCAAAATACTGTATTTAGAATACTTGTAAAATGGTATGCCGTAATGGGGACAATTGTTTTTCTTGGAGTGCCATATTCTACGAAAGGTGATTTAAGTCCATAAAATCACTTTTTCGCAATTTTACAAGTTGAAAAGGGCATTTAATATATTTTGTTGTGTGACTAGCCCCCCCAAAATTTAAAAAAATAAATTAAATACCAATACGTAAGAGCACTGTTGTATTTGATAAACAATGTTAAATAAAAATAGTGATGCTTTATTGCACTAACACATGTTGGAATAATACAATGTCCTGTGAAAATGGAATTCATGTGTATGTAAAAATACAAAAGAGAATATGAACACTAAATGGGACCAGCATTTATGAAAAAGTGGCGAGGACAAACAACTCAAATTATGCCATTTGGAATAGCCTGGTTGCCTACCTTTTAAAATACTATTCTATCATGAAAACTACTCTAATACAGCCAGGGTACACTAAATACAGGGGGGGTAACCCCTAGTGGAAATGGATAATAAACTGAATAATAGTGTACGCTTGTTATGGTCAATAAAATATACCCCTCATGATGCTCTCTATTTGTGTCTCCCATATTCTATCCAGATTCTTCTTTTCATTATTTTATATTAAGTTCGACACTTGGTGTTTTTTTAGGGATCATAATTTTCTTTCAGCGTGTCAATGTAAAAATAAATCCTTTATTTCCTTTATTTCCATTCGACCATACTTATTGAATCCAGTCCAGCTATTTCTACTGGCCTAGTATCAATCTTTTATTCGTATTACCCATGGCGTATATAACTGCCATTCATTCAGTTTGCTTTTCCTACAATCATAATATAATAATATACGTTCATACCATTTACCACCGTTACTCTTGATTCATATCTTCCCTTTTTTGTATATTAACAATGACTTTTTCTTGGCATTACATACCTATCTATTTGATCAATCTAATGGTTCTTTACAATTTAATCATTAATTGCTTAACATAATTGCTACCTATTCAGTTCGTTTTTACTACAATGATAATATAACAATACATTTATATCTTTGTTATTTCTGTTTTACATCTCTCCCTTCCTTGCACATCAATAATCACCTTTTCTTGGTATTACATATTCATCTATATGATCGATCTATGGTCTTTATAATCTAATTATCTATCGCTTAACATTTTCATTATTTTTTGTTATTTGTGACTTTGTCTAATACACTAGTATTTTGTTTCCATTCTACGTTCAGTTAGTAATTTAAGGGGTTAAGTCCCCTTACGGCCGGTGTTAGGGAAATACACACCCCCATGATGTCACTTTTCATTAACCAATCAGAATCACTTATTCTGTCCAATCATTGACGTTTTTCCCTTATTTATACCCGGCATTCCTCTTTGATCAGTTCCCCTCTGACGAGCTAAGTGGGCGAAACGCGCGTGTCAGGGGCTTTAGGGCTTTATTCATGCCGTTTTTGTTATCATAATAGATTTCTATTCTGATAGTCTTTTCGCGATTTTCTCTCTCAGCTTGGGTTACACATAGGTGCCCTCGAAGGCACGGGGGTGGATGGATAGATGGAGTGCTTTCTCAATTCTTTTCAAATTTGTCTTTGTCTATCGGGGAGACACTTTAGGACGCTCTCACTTTTGTAATAATTAGTGTAGATCTAATAGCGTGCTTATAGCATAGCAACTATATCTTCTCATCTCTTTGCACTATCTATCCACCAGTTGCATTCTCATTTATCTATCCATATTTTTCATCTGTACCATCTAATTGTTAAGTAGTTCTTACCAATTCTTATATATATAATCATTCCGTTCACTTATAACATTTAACTGCAAATCAGCCTTTATAGCCGATTACCTAATACTCATCGATCAGTCATAACAATCGATCTGTTTGTATCTACTTTCACAGCTATTGCTATTTACCACCCATCTAGTCATGATCAGCTATTCTAACAATCGAAATTAGAGTTTCTGATCCAACAACCTTTAGGGATACATTCTCAGTTACTACTATCCTAGCTATTTAGCACGCTTTTTACAAAGTTCGATCTCCAAGATTCCATTATTATTTATGTCCTGTAATCTAGCATCTTCTATCACTCCTCCATCAATATACCATTAGCACCCAATTGCCTTTCTCAAACAGTAGAGACGTGTGCTGCAGCTGATTTTGTTTACATGATTCAAATATAGCGCTGGATTGATATAGCATTGACATTTGCCAGATTGGTTATGTTGCCTTTGAGAGCGTATGGTAGTCCAGGAATGAGAATTACCCCCATGATGGCATGCCATGTGTAAAAGTAGACAAGCCAAGGTATTGCAAATGGGGGATGCCCAGTCTTTTTTAGTAGCCACTTAGTCAAAAACACTGGCCAAAGTTAGTTCATTTTGTATTTACTTAGAATGTGTGTATATGTACTTTTATCTAATTTATAAACTGTTTTGAAACTTTATTTAACTTTTGAAAACTTTATTACAGGCATGTGGGGGACTGCCTGACATTACAGCTGGCAGATTGGGGGAAGAGCAAGGAGACCCGCACATCGCTGGAGAAAAGGTAGGAACTATTTTGTTTTATGTATGTTTCCTATGCTTGACCAGCTGTGACTGTTGTAAAAAAAAAAAAAAAAGACCCCCAACATTCTAATAAAGTGACCCTTACTGGGGCACCTTTAAAATGAATCCATGGGGGACCCCTACTAGTGTACCGCGACTAAACTAAATGGCGTACCTAGTGCCCCCCCCTTGGCCCCACCCATTAATGGTGAATGGGGGCCCTCAGATACAATAGGGGGGAACCTACTGCCTCCTCCGGCCCCCACCCATGAGCGGCGGGTGGTGGCCCTAGTAAAAATAGGGGAGGGAGGACCTATTGTTTGGCCCCCACCCTTGAGCGGCGGGTGGGAGTCCTAGTGAAAATAGGAGGGGGACCTATTGTGGGCAACAGGTGGGGACCCTAGTGACAATGGGGGTAACCTATTTCCCACCCCGCCCCCACCTATGATCAGTAAGTGGGGGCCCAAAATAACAATAGGGAGGACCTTTTGACCCCACCCATTTAAATGTAAAAGTAATACCCCACCCCCCAAGGTGACTAGGGGTATATAAGAGTATAAGAGTGCTCTGATAGGTAACTCTTAAACCATGCCTGATTTGTTACTTGCAAGGCTCAAGAATTATCTATCAGAGCACTCTTATTGGTTGGCTTAAACCATCCAATCAGAGCGCTCTGAGTCAAATTGCACTTTATAAGCCTTTCCCCGTCCTGAGGTGCTAAGTCTGTGCGGTGCCCTCGCTGGGTGAAGTTGGATTCTTCATCCATTACAAAATACACACAGGCTGCATCCACTATACAGACACACAATGCATTCACTACACACACTCCACTCTGCATCCACTACACAGACACTGCATTCACTACACACGCTGCATAACATAATGGATGTGGCATTTTTTGCTTGGTGTTGTTTTGTTGGGGATGGGCGGGGGGCGGGAGGGGCATTCTTTCATCCTTTGATCCAGGCAGCACAAAGCCTTGGGCCGGTCCTGGAGCTGAGGTTGAACACCTATCACTTGTCAAGGTTTGGGATAATCCTCTGCATGTTTCACGCAATGTGCCACACGCTATGGTTTTAAAACCTACTCTCTGATTTAGGGCCGCAGAGGGAGGAGAGGAGGAACAGGGAGCAAGGGAGAGATGGGAGTGAGCTGCTGCTGGACCCACACACTTTAGCCTCAGCCAGCAGAACCTCATGCAAGCCACCCTCACGCAGACAAAAGGTATGCTAATATAAGGATGGCTGTATCTGAGTATGTGTGTATGTGCCAGTGTGTGTCAGTGTGTGTATGTGTCAATGTGTGTATCTGTGTGTCTGATTGTACAGCAAATGCTGATGCCAATCATTGATTATGGGGATGTAGTATATGCACCTGCACCGCAAACCCACCTTAGTAAACTTAATACATTGTATAACTCGTTCTGCCGATTTGTGCTACAATGTAATTACAGGACCCACCATTGTGACATGCTAAAAGAACTAAACTGGATGTTGCTGGAATCCAGACGCACCCTTTATCTTTCCAGCCTTGTGTTTAAGAGCTTTTAAGACAAAATATGTGTGTGTGCACTGAAAGGTCCTGTAAAGTGTATGTGTGTGCATCTAGGGGCTGCATTATGAATGTATGCATAGGCGTGTGCACGGGGTGTGCCGGGTGTGCCTGGGCACACCCTAAACCCTGCGGCACGCCTGTGTGTCCTGCAGGAACGCGTGGGAACGGTGTTCCCGCTGTTCCTGCAGGCACTCTGCCGCCCCTCCCCTGTGTTCCCCCTGTCATTTGGGGGGGGGAATGCCAAGAGGTGATACCCCCCCGGCGGGTGCCTGTCTCCATCTCAGCCGCGGCGAGGGAGCTGTGTGCTCTCTGCTCCCTCACTGGCCCGTGCCGTTTGCTGATGCTGGGAGCCGGAATATGACGTCATATTCCGGCTCCCAGCTACAGCAGACAGCCCGCGCGGCGAGAGGAAGCAGAGAGCACACAGCTCCCTCGCCGCGGCTGAGATGGAGACAGTCCCCCGACCCACTGGACCCCAGAGATAAGTCCACGCCAGCTCTCCAGGTAGGGAGGCTGGGTGGACATTTTTTAATTAAGTTTTTTTTTTTTTATTTGTGTGTGTGTCTATGTGTATGTGTATGTGTCTGAGTATGTGTATATATATATATATGTGTGTGTGCACGTATATATACACAAGTGTATATATTTTTTTTTTGGGGGGGGGTGGGACTCTTGGGAGAGTTCCCACCTTTTATTCCCCAGGACCTGACCCCTGCCGGCAGGGGAGATCTCCGGATCTCCCCTGTCGGCTCATGCAGAGCCGGCGCTATCTCAGTGCCAGCTCTGCTCTAAGCCTCCATGGGCCGGCGGGGGGATCACAGATCTACCTCACCGGCCCACAGCAGCATAGAGGGAGGCAGGAGAGGACCCGGGGAGCTCTAGCCAGGTTCCTCATGCAAGATCTGAGCGTTGCCACGGCAACGCTCAGATCTCGCGAGAGTGAACTCTAGCCCCGCAGGCTAGAGTTCAATCTCCACTTGACCACCAGGGATGGCACATGGCAGCAAGGATCCCCCCTCCCTACATAAGGTAAGAAGGGAGGGAGGATATTTAGTAATCTGCCCCCACCTTCACAATCCCTCCAAACATACAGCACCCACACATACACACAGCACCCTAACACAAACAGCACACACACACAGCACCCTCACACACCTCACACACACAGCACCCTCATAAACACACACAGCACCCTTACAAACACTCGAAAATTAGCTGACGTTTCGACCCATTCGGGTCTTTCTCAAGGTTGAGAAAGACCCAAATGGGTCGAAACATCTGCTAATTTTTTATGCAATACCTATTGAAATAAATTACCCCTTTTTTTCACTTATCAAGTCCTTGGAGTGCATCTCTTTTCTTTTGTTTATATATCTTCAACGCGGCATTGCACCTAGGCTAAATTGGATTATTTACATGAAAGGGTGAGTGCCAAGAAACATTTTTTGTGTATATATACATGCGGTGTGCGTTTGTGCTTTAGGGTGCACACCCTAATGCAATAGGCTGCGCATGCCAATGAGTGTATGTGTATTGAGGTTGCATTGTGTGCTTATATATAGAAAAATGTAGTGATGGCAGCACTCACGGTCTCCAATAAAATTCTTCTTTATTTGGCAAGGTTAAAACATAGGATCAACGTTTCAGTCCTCACATGGGACTTTCATCAGGTATTGATCCTGATGAAAGTCCCATGTGGGGACTGAAACGTTGATCCTATGTTTTAACCCCCCCCAAAATAGGAACTCTTACTAGAAATAGTTGTGTTGTTTGTTTCCAAGTAACCACTAAAAAGCACGGGGTACATGCAAGTCGGTGACACAGTCAAGATGTTACCAGTACTGCCGCAGGCAGGGCCGGCCTTAGGCAATTAGGCGCCCTGTGCAAAAAGTCTTCACGGCGCCCCCCCCCACCTCCCACCAAGTTGCCTGAATACAGTAACACACACAGGCACCGGGGACGTGTGTATCACGAGGCAAACAAGGCATCTGCCTTGGGCGCCACTTTGCAGGGGGCGGCAAAAAAAAGCATCCCTCCAAACCCCCAGGCAGATCCCTTGCTTGCCTCGCATCCTGGGGGGCTCAAGAGCTGACCGGCTGGCCACTTTTGAGCCCCCCCAAGGCTGGCAGCGGGCAGCGAAGGAGCATACTCACCTGAGCTCTTCCTGCTCAGCTTCCTCTGCGCCGCTTAATGAAGCCGGGAGCCAGAATATGACGTCAGTCCGGCTCCCGGCATCACTAAGCGCTGCTTACTCAGCCTGTGCGCCCCCTGCCTGCCTGCCCAGCAGCCACACTGGACTGCTGGTAAGAAATCCACTCCAGCTTTCCCAGGGAGGCTGGGTGGATTTAAAATAAATGTAAAAAATATTAGTTTGTGAGTGTTAGTGGAAATGTCTGTGTGTGTGTCTGTGAGTGTTTATTTTGAAGTGAATGTGTGTGTGTGTGTGTCTGTAAGTGTGTAATTGTGTGTGTCTGTAAGTGAATGTGTGTGTGGTCAGTGAGTGTATGTGTGTCAGTCAGTGAGTGTGTATGTGTCAGTCAGTGAGTGTGTATGTGTCAGTCAGTCAGTGAGTGTGTATGTGTCAGTCAGTGAGTGTGTATGTGTCGTCAGTGAGTGTGTATGTGTCGTCAGTGAGTGTGTATGTGTCAGTGAGTGTGTGGGTCAGTGAGTGTGTAGGTCAGTGAGTGTGTATGTGTCGGTCAGTGAGTGTGTGTCGGTCAGTGAGTGTGTGTCAGTCAGTGTGTATGTGTCGGTCAGTGGAGTCGTGCATCTTTCAGTGAGTGCTTGCGTCTGTCAGTGAGAGTGTGCATCTGTCAGTGTGTGTCCAAGTAATAGTGTATGTGTGTATGTCATTGTTTGTCAGTGTATATGAGAGTGTGTGTCTGTCAGTGAGTGTGCGTCTGTCAGTGAGTGAGCGTCTGTCAGTCAAAGTGCGGCCTTGACAGGAAGGGGTGGGGGAAATTTAAACTCTGTTACAGGCATGTACACACACACTCAGTTAAAGGCAGTCACACATACAGGCACAGGCACAAACAATGGCACAGCTACAGCGACACACACAGACAGACAGTCACATAGGCAGTCACACACACAGACAGACACACAGTAACACACACATAGACAGTTATACACACACAGGCAGGCAGTCACACAGATAGAAAGTCACACACACAGGCAGGCAGTCACACACAGACAGATAGTTACAGACAGACACACACAGGCAGGCAGGCAGTCACATACAGGCAGTCACACATACAGGCAGTCACACACACAGGCAGTCACACACACAGACAGACAGTCACACACACAGACAGTCACACAGACAGACAGTCTCACACACACAGGCAGTCACACACACGGGCAGTCACACAGACAGACAGTCACACAGACAGACAGTCACACAGACAGACAGTCACACACACAGGCAGTCACATACATGGGCAGTCACACAGAGTCACACAGACAGACAGTCACACACACAGACAGTCACACACAGGCAGGCAGTCACACACAGAGACAGTCACACACACAGTCACACACACACACAGAGACAGACAGTCACACACACACACACACACAAGGACAGGCAGTCACACAGACAGTCACACACACACACAGACAGACAGTCACACACACACAGACAGCAACACAGGCAAACAGTCACACACACACACTTACCTCTTTCCAGTGGATGCAGTTGGCTGATGGGGAAGCATCTTTCCCTCTTCCTGTACAGCAGGGGCTTCGGGAGGTATTAGCCCCGTCTCCGCCTCTCGATAAGCCCCGCCTCCGCCGCTCGGTAAACCCCGCCCCCTCTGCCGCGATTTTTTTTTTTTTTTTAATAGACCCGGGTGGAGAATAATTAATCCTCCAGCCAGGTACCTCTTTTAGCTCCCCTGCACTCCGGCCATGAGTGAGCTGTGTCGGCCACAGGGCGCCCCCTGTTCCATGGCGCCCTGTGCGGTCGCACAGCTCGCACACCCCTAAGGCCGGCCCTGGCCGCAGGGGTATTCAGACTGCTCAGTGAACTCGAGCGGACTTTCAGCATACTTGATCTGGATTAGTGCTGTCAATAGGGGGGCCAGAGGGGGCCATGAGAGAATGATGCTGCTTCCACATGCGACCACACAGGAGGTAGAACTTCAGGAGAATCAAAGGGCAGATGTGCGCTGAAACAGCCTTTTAAAAGGTACAGGAGGTGGAGATCAGGGAGGAACCTCAATAGACAGGACCACCCACTTTCCTTATTTAAGTCGTACACACCCTTCACTCAGCTATACTGTGCTCCTGAATATGTAAAGACCGTTAGTGACTATCCAATTCTATCCTGATTTTGACCCTTGCCTGTATCATTGCTTCTGAACCTGTGCCGCCTGTCCTGACCTTTTTACTTTAATATACCATTATAGTAAATGGGGGTCTTAATGATCTCTATATGATTTTTATTTATTTATAAATATTTCCATGTGGCTGTGGCTAGCAAGTGCAGGTGAGTTGCCACATAATTAACCCTCGTTCTGCTGAGGATCATTTAGATATTTGCCTGCTGGCTACTAGCACTGCCAGTGGGAAAAAAAGTTTGGATTTATTTTTTTTAAATTCGGGCCCAGAGTTGAGCATTTAGGTCCAAATTTCATTTCTTTTGTCTGGATTTCAGCTGTCTGACCCCATTTAGTTTGGCTGAAATCCAGACAAAATTCAGAATCATTCAGGGGAATGATTTACAAAATCCAGACATTGATTAATTCCATCAACAATGTTGTAGTGTTTCATTTGAATGGCCCCATATGCAGCAGGATGGTTTTGCTCCATCCGGCCATTCAGAATTTAGTGAATAACTCTGATAGTTCATCATAGTCTGTAAGCTCGTTTGAGCAGGGTCCTCTTCAACCTATTGTTCCTGTAAGTTTTCTTGTAATTGTCCTATTTATTGTTACACCCCCCCCTCTCAAAATATTGTAAAGCGCTACGGAATCCGTTGGCGCTATATAAATGGCAATAATAATAATAATAATTATGTAACCTCTCTCTGTTTATGTATTTCAGCAAAAGATTAGACTGTAAAGAGACACACAATGATGGTAAATTGCTAATGATTGTTTGTTAAAATATAAAATTTTATTGAAAAAAAAACAAAATTAAATATAAAAAATCTACAAACTCAAAAATATTTACAAAACAATAGTGTAAAACTTGCATACATACAACAAACGTCGTCCTTACAGGGTTCATCACTAAAGTGAGAATTGAAACTGAATTTCAAGTTTAAAGTAAAAATAGCTAAACCGAAAACATCCTCAGAGGAGTATCTAGAAACCAACGGCTACAGTGCAAAATTTGTCCCGGGCCCACAACCACGTGTTTCAATCCTCCCTCCCCCCCCCGAGCTCCTCCATATGTCTCATTTCCCTCCCCCGCACCTCTCATTTCTCCCCAGTTCCTCCCTGTGTCCCACCCCCCCATGTGTCTCCTCTCCCCCAGCCCCTTTATGTGTCTTTGTTCCTCCCCGCAGCCCCTCCATGAGTCTCAATCTCCCCCCATCCAGCCCTCATTAACCCCCATCCCGCTCCATCCAGCCCTCACTCCCCCTCTCTTACCTCCATCCAGCCATCATTAACCGCACTCACCCTCCACCCAGCCCTCATTACGGCCTTTACCCTCATCCAGCCTGCATTAACCCCCTTCAGCCTCCATACAGCCCTCACTCTCCCCCCCACCCCTTTCAGTCCTTATTAATCCCCCTTATTCCCCCTATCCAGCCCTCAATCCCTCTGTCCCCACTCTTCCCCTGTACTTTATGATTGTGTAGCGCGGCCAAGAGGTACTTAGTCTGACATGAAGTGCTCTCTCTGTGAGCCCTTCCTGTCAGCTGCCGTGCTCGGCCGCGCTTCACAAACAGAGACCGGCAGGAGGGGAGCTGCGCAGTACAGCAGTCCCACCTGCCGATTATCCAGTGACTGCGGGGCCTGGTGTGGCAATGCACCGGCCCTGAAGTTGCAGTGGCCCATGGTCACAGAGGTCGCAGCTGTGACCCCTGTGACCATGTTAGGTATGCCACTGCTCTAAGTAAATTATGCTTCCAGTTTGGTTTCTTTGGCCTAGAATTTGAATTCTCACTTTAGTGAATATCTCTGTATGGGATCAAGACTTTCTGAGATTCTATGCATTCAAGACCCAGTCCTTTTTGGCACTTTTACTATGTTATTACATTGTAATTTAACACAGTATTTTTAAGTGCATCCATTTATATTTTACATAATGTTAAAGGACAAGTAAGGCACAACATTAAATATCAATAAAGTATTAAAATAGGGAACCATTTTCACAATTTTGCACTAATAGTGGAACTATGGAACAGTTGATCAAAATGGATTCACTTATTAGATCTGCTTGTTAAAAAGTATAATTTGTAGATGATTTTAATATATTTTTGGCAATTACAGGACAAATATTGTAAGCAGTGAATTGCATTTCTAAAGCTAAACCTTTGCAAAATGATATATAGGAATATAAGAATAAAAGCAATCAGAAACCAAACATTAAAATCATGAAAAAAATAAATAAATTATATATATATATATATATATATATATATATATACACACACACATACACATACACACACACACACACACACACAAAAAGAAGATCATAGTTAACTGAGCATCTTGACACTTTTCATTTAACCATGTTATCACTTGGACATCTGCTAAATCTAACACAGAGGAGCTTATCACTCAACACCGAAATTTTTTTTATTGAAAACTTAATGGCAAAATTTAGGCAAAAATAGTCAAGCTGTGGATATCTATTTCAAAATCAGCTACTTTAGCCTAAATATTGCAATATGATTTTCGATTTATTTTAAATATTTCTACCTTTAGAATATTTAACATTTCAGCTGATGTGGTTTACAGCTACTACAAGCAATATGAACATTTCAGTTTCCCTGTTCACATTTTTTTAGGATTTAGAAGAGAGCTGCATGAAACAAAATGACACTAATCCTGGCCCAAAAATAAATTAGTATAAACAAAAGACTATATTAACAAATATGGTTTTTTTAAAGAAAAAGTAGGTTGTATTAACCAAAAAGGTGCTGGAGCCAGCTAGTAATGACTTGTCTAACATTTTCAACTTGATTTTACTTGAAAAAAAAAAAAACATTTACATTGTGGAAAGATACCAAAAGGTTAGCTCCTTTTCCATGTCAGAGTCACACGTGATATTGAACAAGATTGGTACCACTGAAAGGCAGTGATTGTTTTTTAGCATTCTTGATTTTCTGACCGCTCTACAGCTTCCCAATAAAGTAGAATATTGTTTGGTTGCACTCTATGGGAAGTTACAATATTTCGGTACTTGCACACTGAGAAAGGCACTACCACAGGAAAAAAGGTTTGCTTGTTATGGAGCTCCTGTGGAGGTATTTTTAATTTGTCCAAGCATAATCCTACATAGACGTCCTCCAGTTTAAAAAATGGTACACTTGATGTGACATTCATGATCTTCAGTGCCACATCTGCAGAAAACACGTAACCCGTCCCTGAGCAAAATGGTGGATATTTGTCATATGGATATTCAAGTTTACTAATATACCACTTGCTCTTTGGGTTACGTATAGGAGAGTCGTTTAATTTTAAGAAACCAGTAAAAAAGTTTGCAGTAACTTTTTTCTGTAGAAGCAAGTCAACAAGATATATTGTATTGACAAACATATCTGTATCTGTCTTCATCACAAAGGTTGTTTCTGGACAAAAATACTGAATCCATTCAAGTCCCATAAGAGTTTTAAGGGTTAGATTGAAATATACATCAATAAAATCCTTCTGAATAATATCATTGTATTTATTGTGTTCATCAACAAGATTGGCTTGGTCTTCATGTTGCAATGTCACAGTGGAACCCAGAAGAAAGAAGGCAACTACATTTTGTTTTCGGATGGTTCTTGGCTTTCCCCATGATTGTCGGATTGCCATTCGTGCAGCTTGTTGACCATGGGTGCTGGTTATTAACAGAACCAGAAAAGGCGGATTCTTTTTGCAGCTTAGATTTGGTAAAAGTGTGAAAAATCTTTCACGTTCATGGCTCAAGGCTCTTTGATAGCAAATGGTGCAGAAATTCAAAAACTGTACCTCCACGAAAACCCCCAAAAGCACAAGGCATGTACAAGTGAGTGCTATGACAACAACCACTCTTCTGCTAGGTATCTGAAATATAAAATGCAATGGTAATTTAACAAAAATACAATAATTTATGGCTAAAGAGGCAGCATGAAATTTGAGGCTAAAACATCAACTAATGTTTGTTTTATGCCATAAAGCATATTTTCAGTATAACACCAGATAATGCTGAGGGTTTCATTCTGTATCTAGGAGTCTTCACTGCAATTTCAGGAAGTATGAATTATACTGTGAGTCTACCTAATGATTCTCAAAATCATTGAGCAGATTCAAAAGAAATGGAATTTCACATTCTTGGTGGAAATGGGCAGATGTTCAGGGTTAATGGGTAGATCATTAGGTGCATGAATTAGCAAAGTCCCAGGATTTAATGCATTTAAAGCCAGGCCCTAAGGGTACCCTGGAAAAAGAGCATAGGCTTAGTATCAGTAAGAATGTGTGGACATATATTTTCAATGTTTTGGAGTGCATGATAAAAATGTCATGGTGAATGGGAGTAGAATAAAAACAGTAGAAATATCTCTATAAATACATCAAGTTCCTTAGTTTAGCAGTCATCACGCTCTACCTGCCTTACTATCATATGATGGTGTGCAGGAGAACAAGACAGTGGTGGAGACTTATGGAATTTATCTAATTTCCCCACAACACATTTTTCAGTCTATTTTCCACACTATCTGCTTTTTTGATCTTCATAAAAGTTCCTGCCATTTACACTGCTTTCAACATGTTTGTTAACTTTTACCTGAAGTTCTGACTTGTCCATATTCCTTTCCGTTATTTCCATGGATGGTTTTACCTAATTAAGTAACTCCCCTACCCTATAAGCAGTGATGTAGCATGGGTTTTCAATGCCCGGTGCAAGGCAAGTATTGTACCCCCTAACACGTGGACTGTTAGCACTCCTTGAGTTCCTTAGCGGGCACATAGATAACTTGACTCCTCCTTCCCTACCTGTGTAGTCTCCATGGTGTGTGTGTGACACTGATAGTTGAAGTGCATACATTTTTAAAATCCACCTTTCGCCTACAATAATGTGTATAGTCTATACACATTACTTTAAGAGTGAGGTGGATTTTAAAAATTATGCAACGCAACGATCAGTGTCACACACATCACCAATAAGGATTACATGAGGACAGTATGGCTGTAATTACTGTAAAATATTACGTGGTAATGCGTACTTGCCCTGTCATGTTGAAAATCTGTAGAATGTTCGAATATTGGGAGATTTTCTATGTGAGGGCGTACTTTATTTATTATTACTACTTTTTAAAAAAATTTGCACCCCTAAGAATTCCGGACAACCACCCCTGTGTCGTCACCTCCATGCTACGCTACTGCCTACAAGTAGTTTGTAATTAAATTTTTTTGAGCTAATTATGTTTTATTTAGCATCTAGAGCAAACATAGGCATCAACAAGCCATTTAATAAGGCTGTTATTACCAAAAGTATGTAAACTAGGAAGATGTATAAAATAAAAAAAGCAAGTAAAGAGGAGAGAAAGATAAATAAACTCTATCACACATGATTATATAAAAAAAGTGAACTGAAAGAACCAGGCACAGAATAATTCATAATTTGCACTAAAGGAGCACAAAGTATATAAATAGAGTTAAAACTCCACTGATACCTATGATTAAGGTCCAAAATGCATAGGGAGTTTTGTTGATTGTTGTAGCGGACCCTGGGTAACCCAGCTGGTTATCTCCGCTGTTAATCCAGGACCAGACCAATTCCCCCCCACCCCCCAGTAACTGGGTGACAAACAGTTCCAGGGGTACAACAACAGCTTTATACTCTCCCCATGCAAAGGGGTGTAACACAGGTAACATACAATGTCCCCTCCCAGGGTCCTCCCCCTCCCAGGGACACGTATTGGAACTAGAACCCTAGTCCCTTTGTCCCTTGTTCCTGCCACCCAAATACAGGGTGTCCAACTTCCCATGGCAGAGGTGTCTTCTTCCCAGGAGTCTCTGTACTTGGGAGTCCCAGCGCACAGAAAGCCCACCAAACTGCCATTGTCTTCAAAGAGTGTCCCTATCAATCTCAGGTACCCCCAGAACGGTAACAAGCATGAATAGCTTCCATTCGCGGAGTCCCTGGGTGAAACCAGGCAAGGGAAGTGTCTCCTTTTGGGACACGAATGCTCCCCCTGGCCGGCGTTCATCTATATGAACGGTGACCACCCAGGGAAGCACTCATTAATTACTTCCCTTGCAGTTTCACACTTATGTTGAAAGTTGTCAACATTCTAATTGATTGGTGTGAACATTCCAAGGGTCACTGGGGAGGTCCTCGTTTGGGAGCCGAACGAGGTAGGAAGCAATTCAAGAATGCTCCCCCTGGATGGCGTTCATCTAACGAACGGGCCGCCACCCAGAGTTGGCATCCGCCGAGGCTTTCCTCGCGGTTCCAGATCACAGGGCGAGGCTGAGTTTAAATACCCTGCTGATGTCTGATCAGGGTTAGGTGAAGCACAGCCATAGTCAAGGTACAGCCCACAGAGTAACAGGCATGCCAGGATGAACAGGACTGAAAAGCTGCTGTGGCTCAGAGGTAGGAAGCAGGACCAGGACTGCAAAGTTCCCCGGTTCAAATCCCTTGTTGGGAACTCCTTGGGTGACCACATCTGGCCGTCTGTCTGCTGTGGTGAGAACAGTGAGATTGGTAGAAGCCACAAATATTTAAATTTGGGCAATTCTTCACTATCTATGTATCTTAACTTTACCCAGTCCAATTATGGATACCTTGTTTTATATCTGTATCCTTTGTTCTACTTTGGACAAAGTGGATTCAGTACCCTATAGAGAAATCTTGCCTGACCATCTCCTTTGTCTCCCAGAGTTCTTCCAGGATACTTTTGTCTTGACACTCAAACAGGATCTCTCTAACTAAGCATCATGAGAAGTGTAATGCATTCATCTGGTTCTTTATAAAAAAAGTTGAGATAATAACTCTTGTAATACCTACCATGTTTCCTGGGTATCATACATTCTGTGCAAGTCAGTGGTGTTGAAATCTCAGTATAAGAGCCTGCAGATGAAAATTGCATACTAATTATGAATGGGGTGAGCAGGAAGGAGCATTTAAAAGAAAATAATATATAGAAAAGTATATAAGTTTAAAAAACCAAAACATTGCAACTGTATCCAGATGACTTAATTTCCTTTAGGCTTGATTTAAAACTGCTAGTTTATTCACCGGGGGGGTGGGGGGGGGGGGGAATTCCAGGGGGGGGGAAAAGACCGGGGTCATGGCTACTAGCCGTGGGCCTCTAGGGGGGCGTCCGATGGGGCACCAACGACAATGACAACATAATGAAAGATTCTCTATAGCGTGGCGTGGGGCCCCGACCTTCCTTCCTGAGAGAACACTCCCATAGGTGGGGGTCCACACGATTCACAGGTCCACGAACTACCTAAGTACATCATACACACAGGGGCCAATACGTCTCCCTCTGGCTCAAAAGCTTCACTATCCTTTCCTCTCTTCACCTCTCTCTAATTTTTCTGTTACTTTGTTAATTTTTATTCGTAATACAAAATCTAAAGTATTGAACAAGCGAGCACTCAAACGAGGGCGTTGCGGCACACTTGATGGCTAACTACGCGTTTTGAACATACCCAAAACCTCATTCCTGGTATTATAACTTGAAACAATTGTTAGAAACATGAACATGATGTCATCACTTATGATCAATTGTTGCCTTGAATTTATGATCTCCTCATATTACCTGTTCTCTTAGGTCCCCCCCCTTATTCCAATTTAGGGCCCCCACCCACCGCACGGGGTGGGGGCCAGGGGGGAGGACATTAGGTCCCCCCCATTAGTATTTAGGGCCCCCACCCACTGCTCAGGAGTGAGGGCCAGGGGGAGGACAATAGGTCCCCCCCCCCATCATTTTACTTTAGGGCCCCCACCCGCCGCTCAGGGGAGGGGGCAGAGGGGCAATAGGACCCCTATTTTGCTCACTGTTTACTAGACATGCCCCTACTCGCGGTATAGCGAGTAGGGGCAAAATTTACTAATACTAAGTCATTTTTACTTAGTATTAGTAAATTTGTCTGAAAGACCAATTTAGGTCGTTCAGCCTTTTGGTAGATAACTCCCTAATACCGTGGGAATTAGGGAGTTATCTACTAAGCGGCTGCAATAGAAGTCCCGAAGTGCCGAAGTCCCGAAATTCCAAAATGCCGAAGTTCCGAATTTCCGAAGTGTATATATATGTATATCATACAAGATCCAGCGCACTCACTCATTTACTAAACAGCAATTTTAAGACTCACAGAATTTAATAATTTTATTTAAAAACACCTCACCAAGCTAAAAAATAAGTTACAGCACATGATCATATATTGCATAAGCCTGCCACAGTGTCAATGTACCCCATTCACTATTCTAGAACCTAATGCCTGCTCTTATGAGATTAATCACTTACTTAGGACATGATTCCTACCAGGACTCTCTGCAGTGTAACGTTAAACAGAGCCCTGGAATGAGGCACATGTGATATTGAGGGGTGCAAAACTCGGGAGTTGGTCTGGACTCTATATGTAGAGGGCTGCACTCAAAGGAACATGCAATACAAACTTATAACCTCTATTATTTTTGCCTAGGTGAGGTGCTTTTAAATAAATCTATTATATTATGTGAGCCTTGAATTGCTGTTTAGTGAATGAGTGAGTGCACTGGATAGTTACATAGCTACATAGGCTGAAAAAGAAAATGTGTCTATCAAGTTCAGCCTTCCTCACATTTCTTTTTTACTTTTGATCCAAAAGAAGGCAAAAAAAAAAACCCCAACAATTTGAAGCACTTCCAATTTCGCAACAAACTAGGAAAAGAAAAATCCCTTTTGACCCCAGAATGGCAGTCAGATTAATCCTTTGACCAAGCAGTTATTACCCTACATTGAAAGATTATATCCTTGAATATTCTGTTTTTGCAAGTATGCATTTAGTTGCTGTTTAAACATCTGTATGGACTCTGATAAAACCACTTCTTCAGGCACAGAATTCCACATCCTTATTGTTCGTACAGTAAAAAAACCTTTCCTTTGCCTTAGACTAAATCTTCTTTCTTCCAGTCTAAATGCATGACTTCATGTCCTATGTATAGTCCTTTTTGTGAATAGATTTCCCCATAATGGTTTGTATTGGCCCGGATATATTTGAATAATGTTATCATATCCCCTCTGAAGCTATGTTTTTCTAAACTTAAAAAGAGTTTAAATTTGTTAACCTTTCTTCATAGCTAAAATGTTCCATTACTTTTATAAATTTTGTAGCCCACCTCTGCACTTTTACTAGTGCTATAATATCCTTAAATTACCTTCTATGTTGTATTAATTGTCCCTGCAGCACCCTTATAATGTATGCATGTTCAGGTGAGTGCAGAGTTATTGGTATATATATATATATATACACATACATACATACATACACATATATATATATATATATATATATATATATATATTAGAAGTAGATAGTGTTCTAGCGTTTAATATATGAATATGGAAGGCAGCTTTAGCACTCAAATCACAGTCTTTCTTATCTGTTCATTGATGTGTAGTAGAGAAGATGAAATTAGGGAGCATTGCCTTGAAGGGGACCTCAAATCCAAGATTATATATACTGAAGAGAGGGGACAAAGGGAAAGAAATATAGTGTAGTATGTATGTACTTCAAAATTGGATAAAAAGAGAAATACACTTACAGTGTTTGGAGCTATAGACTCACTCTAGATGTAGCACCTGGGTAGTATAATCCCAGTCTATGGATATAGGCCTGAAATCTGGATCCAATGTGGAATGGTTCAGCTGTGCAAATACAAACAGAAATGAAGAAACTAATATAGTGTAGTATGTCAGTAATCCAAAAGATTAAAAACTTATTATAAATGTATACTCATATTTAAAAGAGACATCACATGGATCATTGTACAAGGATCAAGGACTTTCAGATCCTGACAGACAAGCAAGTAATGGTCAATCAACATGACATTGTGGTGGTAGACAAGGAACAGAAGACTGCAGTGGTGGTGGATATGGCAATACTCTGTGACTATAACATCAGGAAGAAGGAACATGAGAAGGTGGACAAATACCAAAGACTGTAAGAGGAGCTAGAAAGGATGTGGAAAAAGTGAAGGCAGTAGTGCAGTTTTGAAGTTAGGAGAGTGACTTCGCAGATTCCAGGCGGGACATCTTAGATCGCTGTCCAAAAGAGTGCAGGATACTGCGTAGAACTGCGTAGGATACTGTGCAGGATACTGCGTAGAACCCTCAGACTCCCAGGCCTCTGGTAGAGGACTTGAGAATGAAGAATAAACACAGAAAATATATATATATATATATATATAGTTGAAAAAAACTAATTTTATGTATATATACATATATACTCCTGCTTCTGTTCCACATAGGCCTCTCTTTATTTAGTATTTTTGTTGTCCACTTTAGATCACGAGTATGAGCTGAATAGTCCAGAATCTATTCTATGCTCGGGAACCTGTCTGGTGGTGGTTTATTTCTTGTAGATTATTTTCTGACAGGGATCTTATATTTCAGCTTAATCTCGGGCTTACTCTAGATGATCAGTATCAGGTCTTGTTGCATTGGGTTGTGAATTTTATGGATCATGCCATACTCCATACCAAATATATCTTCATGTTGGGCACATTGAGCTTCAACCTTTACTTTATTGTTGTGGCGTATTCTTATAATGTGCTAGAAAGTGTGCTAGAGATTCTTGTTTGGTTACATCCATAACTTCTGTTTTAAGTGCTTCTAAAGTTTCTTATCCTGGACATTTGACTGAGGGTGATCAGGAGCCCTTGTTAATTGTTTCCTCCCATTCTCAGCAACAAATGCCTTAAATTCCATAGAAACAAATTGAGCATATTTATCTGATACTAGTGTACCTGGTCATCCAAACTGAGCAAACAATCTCTGTAATACTTGAATTGTGTTTCCTGCTGTTGTAGTATACATTGACTTCTGCCCATTTAGAATTTGCATCAGTTATGGCTAAATATGTTTGACCTGCAAATGGTCCTGCGAAGTCGACATGTAGTCTTGACCACATTTTTTTGTTACCAATGTCCAAGATTGGATGCAAGATTTAGCTGTTTTTCTTTGCACCTGGTTGCAACCATTATTATTATTATTATTATTTTATTATTTATATAGTGCCATCAGATTCTGTAGCACTGTTCAATGGGATTATAATTCTTAACACATTTCTGTATATCCATATCCATTCCTGGATTCTACTGATGTGCTAAATAAGATGAGGATTTAAAAAGAACACTCCAAAAATCTCAGGCATTTTAGCTTGCTGAAGTGCTTTACGTGTGAAGAGTGTGTCCTCTTTTTTTGTTTTACAAAAAGGGCAGATTTCCATAGAAATTGGCACTTTTATAAATCAACCTTGTTAACCAGGGGAATCCTGGCACCACAACCACGAACAGCACGATACGACTCATAGACAATCCTTTTAAAATACACAATACTCTATATTAGTGAAACCACCAGTAAATGTGTCTCTAAAAAGATTTACTTTAGGCTTACTTCCTACATCGTGCTTTGGACATCACACTAAGTGTTATACAATATAAATCTACATTGAAAAAGCACTCTAAGTAACATGAATTTACAGACTGAGATTATCAGTCACAATGTATTGAAATATGTACATAGAAGAACTGACATGACATATTTGCATAGGTAACTGAATTCATTTTATACAATACTATGTAAGCTCGTTTGAGCAGGGTCCTCTTAAACCTATCGTTCCTGTAAGTTTTCTTGTAATTGTCCTATTTATAGTTATATCCCCCCTCTCATGTAAAGCGCTACGGAATCTGTTGGCGTTATACAAATGGCAATAATAATAATAATAATAATAATTAACTGCCCTTATTTGGGGCACATGTTACAAAAAACTACATTCTTTAAAAGATGCGGTTTAATTTTAAAATGCTCTTGGTTTTATGATCTGAAACCCACAATATGTTTATGTAATACAAACCTTATTTAAGATATAATCTAGTTTTCGATTGTGTACAAAAAGTTCAGTTAGTTCATGCAATATTGGAACCGCGATTGTGAAAACCACAATCGTATGCAAACTCATAACCGTATTGCGTCTAACACTATTTTACAACATTGAAATCCGTACTTCACAGTAATAATTGTGTGAAATTGTTCTGAACCCAAAAAAAGGAAAAACAAATCTACTTAAAGGACCACTATAGTGCCAGGAAAACATACTCGTTTTCCTGGCACTATAGTGCCCTGAGGGTGCCCCCACCCTCAGGGACCCCCTCCCGCCCGGCTCTGGAAGGGGGAAAGGGGTTAAAACTTACCTTTTTCCAGCGCTGGGCGGAGAGCTCTCCTCCTCCGTTCCGCCCCGTCGGCTGAATGCGCACACGCAGCAAGAGCTGCGCGCGCATTCAGCCGGTCACATAGGAAAGCATTATTAATGCTTTCCTATGGACACTGGCGTGCTCTCACTGTGAAAATCACAGTGAGAAGCACGCAAGCGCCTCTAGTGGCTGTCAATGAGACAGCCACTAGAGGATTAGGGGGAAGGCTTAACCCATTGATAAACATAGCAGTTTCTCTGAAACTGCTATGTTTATTAAAAATTGGGTTAACCATAGCTGGACCTGGCACCCAGGCCACTTCATTAAGCTGAAGTGGTCTGGGTGCCTAGAGTGGTCCTTTAATAATATTATTAAGAAGAAAATTAAACATGGGAAAAGATATTTAATTATATTTAACACCATATAGAAATAAAGCAAAGTATTTTTTTGCCATTTTTACTCCAAAGGATTAGTGATTTAAAAGCTAAATTTCAAAATGTAGACTATATCAACTAAGTTGTGACTATACCGGAGGTTTTTGCAAAGCAGCACTTTTTGATTGGTCTCTATGTGAGTAGAAAATGGTTCCAAAATCCCAGCAACTTCTTCAGACATTTAACCCCTTAAGGACCAAACTTCTGGAATAAAAGGGAATCATGACATGTCACACATGTCATGTGTCCTTAAGGGGTTAAAGCCATTTATCTTCATACTGTGCTTATAAAACCAGATTAAAGAGGCAAATTGACCTTTCTATTTCTTCTACTTTTCTTCCTCTCTAGATTAGATATGAAGAAAAGGAGAACAGATCCTGAGAGATTAAGAGAAGAGGAAACAATAGGAGAAAGGTAAATTTGGCACCACAGTGTCACTTTAAAAGAGGAGGGAGGCTCTAGTACATTCATGCAATCTTAGAAATAAATTGAACCTTTGCTCCTTTTTTTCCCCAGGAACTGCAAGGTTTAATATTCCATACTAACTCATTCAAGGATGCGAGAACGTAGTCACTATAAATTACACAACAGAAATGACAGTGGCTTCTATTTTTATAGATTGTGATACATTTCTAAAATGATAGCGATATCACATTTTTATTTTAGGGTACATTGTCACTGGCTTTTATTTCTGTTGGTAAATTCTATGCAAATTCAGATGCTAACTGTGCTGTATTCAGATGAAATTCACAAAACACACAGTTGTGGTGAATTAAAAATAGCAGACAGCTTTCCTATTTTAGCTAAAAGTTTACCTCTTGATTTTTCAAATTACCATAATTTTCTGTTTCGTGTATTTTACGCACAACACTCAAAGATGGCGAGTGGTGCACTAAACCAGGACTCACAAGGGCCCCTACCCTGGCATACATTTTGAAATTCTGGCATTGATTTTGAAAATATGACTAATCACGCAAAAAAAGTCTTAAACTGAAGGATAGTAATCATATGAAACCATTTATTATCACATAGTTCTTTGGCTTCTTTTTAAACTATAATGATAATTATAACTGGCATCACCCAAATGTCCCTGATCAGAAGTGTGCATACCCTTTCATGTTGGGCCTTGTTACAGGCACACACAAGTTAAAATGGCAATTAAAGGTTCATTTCCCACACTTGTAGCTTTTTAAATTGCAATTAGTGTCTGTGTACAAATAGTCAATGAGTTTGCTGGCTCTCATGTGGATGCACTGAGCCATAGGGAGCAGAAAAGAACTGTCAAAAGACCTGCATAACAAGGTAATGGAACTTTATAAAGATGGAAAAGGATATAAAAAGATATCCAACGCCTTGAAAATGACAATCAGTACTGTTCCATCACTTATTAGGAAGTGGAAAATGTGCTTGATACCAAGCCAAATTCAGGTATGCCACCATTTCAGCCACAATGCCAGAAGAATTGTTTGGAATACAAAAAAAAAAAACACAGGTAACCACAGGAGAAATACAGGCTGCTCTGGGAAAAGACGGTCTGGTTGTTACAAGGAGCACAATACAATAATACTTTAACAAAAATGAGCTGCTTGGTCGAGTTGCCAGAAAGAAGCCTATACCGCGCCAATGCCACAAAAAAGCCCGGTTACAATATGCCCGCCTGACGTTTTTTGGGGTGGTGAACTCTCAAGGCACGGGGAATCTTGGGGAAAATGGCAAGATGAATGCAGCGTTCTATCAGAAAATACTGACGGACAATTTGCATTCTTCTGCAGGAAGGCTGCGCGTGGGACGCTCTTGGACTTTCCAGCATGACAATGACCCTAGGAACAAGGCCAAGTTGACCCTCCAGGGGTTACAGCAGAAAAAGGTGAAGCTTCTGGAGTGGCCATCAGTCTCTTGACCATAATCTCATCGATCCACTCTGGGGACATCTCAAATGTGCGGTTCATGCAAGATGACCAAAGACTTTCATGACCTGGAGGAATTTTGCCAAAACAAATGGGCAGCTATACCACCTGCAAGAATTGGGGTCCCTCATAGACAACAACTGCATGCTGTCATTGATTCTAAAGGGGGCAATACGCAGTATTAAGAACAAAGGGCATGCAGTCTTTTGAACAGGGGTCATTTATTTTATTTT